TCCGGGGGGGGGGGGCAGGGATCAATAGATCCCTCTGTGTGGACCCCGGGGACTGAGTCACAGTCCTGATTTGAGACAAAGAAGGGTCAGTGCCCTTCATCCGCCATGCACAGGGTTGAGTATTTACTGTGTGCTGGGCACGGGAATACGATGGGTTCATGATCTAGATCAGGAAAGGTCAACTCACCATTATACAAATGGATTCAATCAGCTATTCTGCAAGTGTCAGGTATTTCTGTAGCGGCTTAAGGCAGAGATTTATTCCTCTCTCCTATAGAGGGGTGCAGTGGCAGGCAGGCAGAGAAAAGTTAGATAACCCAGCTTCTTCCATCTCATGGTTCTGCCATGCATGGCTTCTGCGTCTGAGGCCACCTCACGGTACAGAAAGGCTGCCGAAGCTCCAGCCATTGGGTCCACATTCCAGGCAGCAAGATGGACTGGATGTTTTACATACAGTCAAGTGAGTGCATCTTAGGGAAACAGCTGGAAGAACTTTAACACTTGTGTGACCACCTCTTAGATCAGGATACAGAATACTTCCATCACTCCAGAAAGTTCCTCTGTTCTGGGCTGAGGCTTTTAAAAGATTTTGAAAAATTCTCTAGGTAAGGGGCCTGAAAAAACTTTCAGGTGCAATGGAACTGTTCATTATCTTGATCATGGTTTCTGGGTGTGGACATGTGTGAACGCTCATTCAATTCTATGCTTTATTCACGTTTGTTGTGCATCAGTTATAAATTAAGCTGGAGTGCCTTAACTCCCCCCTCCCGTCCCCCAAGGATGGAAACAGACAGTGGGTGGTTAAGGGCGAATGGAACTCGGAGTATGTCTCGTGGGGTAACTTTGGGGTGTGGGGTGACGGCAGAAGCCCACCAGTTACTTCCATCCTGGCTTGCCTTCCCCTGGTAGGTGGTCTGATTCAGCCACTTTGCTGTTCCCTTGTCCCTGCAGACCAGGTGGAGGCCCTGCTAAGGAACTTCCTGCCTCAATACCGCGTACAGCTGGCAGCCTCTGTCCTGCAGCAGATTTCCCGGGAGCTGGTCCCCCAGGAGCAGGCTGGATGCCAACTGCTGCACAGCAAAGTGGGTGCCACAAATGCGGGGGGAGGGCTGCTGAGCACACAAGACTGCGAAGGCCATTGGTTCAGCGGTGGTGGGGGGCTTCTCACACCTTTGTCCTTGCTGGTGCCACAACCTAGGATAACTGTACACATTCACTAGCATGTCCTGGGCTGGACGCCGGGGACACAGCAGAGACCGAGACATATCCCGTTCTGTTCTCTGGGGCTCACAGTCTGATTGGGGGAAAATGACCCCAAACAAGTGAACAGATCATGACGCAGGGTAACTTCTGATAGGTGCTAGGAAATCAACAGGAAGGGCACAGTTGGGTGTGGGGAGTCGAGGTGCAGGGGGCCCCTTTGAGCTGAGATATAAAGGATGAGAAGAAGCCAGATCTGGAGCCCAGAATGGGAAGGGCATTGTAGGCAGAAGGCACAGCTAGGGCAAAAGCCCTGAAGTTGGAAAAAGCTTGTCCTGAGTGCCACACTCAAGGACACAGCACAACCACGGGATGCCCAAGTTTTTGCATGTGAGGTGACCTCTGTCTCATGCACTTTTCATTCCTCCTTGTACTTCAGTTGCCACTTCTTCCAGGAAGCCTTCCTGGATTGCCATTGCCCCCACCTCAGTCAGGCGCCTCCCCTGAAACCCCCATCCCAGCAAAGCCCCAGGTCACACATTAGTCACCTCCATGGGTCTGCTGCAAGGGAGGAGCCAGGCATAGTCTCCTCTTTCCCTCACACCCGCTCCTCATACCCACATGGTACCAGCATATAGTAGGGGTGCAGGAATAGTTTGTGGATGGAACAAAGGAGCCTGGAGCTGTCTGGTCCCGGCTCCATATGTCTGCTGAGCTGGCAATGGCACCCAGGTCTTCCAGGTGCCCGACACAACAGACTCAATCCTTACCAGCCCCAGAGATGGGTCTTTGACCAGCAAGGAAACCAAGGCACAGAAAGGCAAAGGGATCTGCCTGAGGTCATACTAGTACCACCAGCAAGAGGCAGAGGCATAATTTGAACTCGGAGCTCATATTCCTTACTGACATTGGGCCCCCTGGCCCATCAGGGCACTGGGTTTTCCCACCTCAGCCAGGTGCCTCTTCTCCCAGCTGTGCCTGCCCTGGGGTGGGGCTCCCTGGCGCTGTGGACACAGAGCACCCTCCCAACCAGAGCTCTCCCTGTCCCTCTTGGGGCATCATGGGGCCCGGGTGTCACTCCCTCCTGCACCTTACACCACCTGCTGGTTTCAGTCACGTGGCCACGGCCCAGCTGACACTGGGTTTCGGGCAGTGCGGAGGGGCTTCCCCTTGCTTCAGTTTGAACATTTTATATAATATTCATTTATTTATTTACTTACTTATTTTAATCCTCACCCAAGGATATTTTTCCATTGATTTTTAGAGAGTGGAAGAGAGAGGGAAAGACAGAGAGAAACATCAATGTGAGAGAAACGCATCGATTGGTTGCCTCTTGCACATGCCCTGACCAGAGCCTGGCCAGGTAGGAGCCTCCAACCGAGGTACATGCCCTTGACCGGAATCGAACCCGGGACCCTTTGGTCTGTGGGCCAACGCTCTATCCGCTGAGCCAAACCGGCTAGGGCAGTACTTATTTTATATGTTTGTATTTTATATATCACTAGAGGCCCGGTGCACGAAATTCATGCACTCAAGGGTTCCCTTAGCCCAGCCTGTGCCCTCTCGCAATCTGTCGGAGTCCTTGGGGGATGTCCGACTGATGACTCCCGCCACCGCCACTGTGCTCACCAGCCATGAGCCCACAGGGGGAACGCACTGACCACCAGGGAGCAGCTCCTGTGTTGAGCGTTTGCCCCCTGGTGGTCAGTGCATGTCATAGCGACTAGTCATTCCTCTGTTCGGTCGATTTGCATATCAGCCTTTTATTATATAGGATTTCTATAATGGCATTTTAACAATATTTTATGAAAATGTTTAGACCTGGGAAAAGGTATGGAGAATCATTAAAAACATACTGAGTTCCCACCACCCCAGCAAAGAATCAAAATATCACAGTTGCAGTTAATTGATTCATCGAATATTTATTGAGCACCAGCTAGGCACCAGACACTGCTCTGGGACCCAGTGATGACATAAAACACACAATTCAGGTGTCAGATAGTAGGGAGAGTGACAAAGGAAATGAAACCGAGGACAGAGAAAGTGTCCCCCTGAGGGCAGGGTCTGTGGACAGAGGCCCGGCCTTTTCTCATATAGTTACACTACACCTGCCCCAGGACCCAGCAAGTCCACTTGTATTGCTTAGTTAATGCTGTGTGACAATATACTGCAAGTCAGTAGCTTAAAGCAACACACACTTCTCTCACAGTTGCTGTGAGTCAGGAATCTAGAGGCAGCTTCTCTGAGTCCTTCCTTTCAGGGTGTCTCACAGGTTGCAATCGAGATATTGGCCAGGGCTGGGATCTCATCCGAGGCTCAAGTGAGGAAGGGTCCGCGTCCAGATGGAGTGGCGATGACAAGAATGCCTGTCTCAGGGCTGTGTGATACAACTAATAAGATATATCAGTTCTCGCCCTAGCTGGTTTGGCTCAGTGGGTAGAGTGTCGGCCTGTGGACTGAAGGGTCCCCGGTTCGAATCTGGTCAAGGGCACATGCCTGGGTTGCAGGCTCAATCCCCAGTAGGGGGCGTGCAGGAGTTTCTCTCATCGTTGATGTTTCTCTCTCTCTCTCTCTCTCTCTCTCTCTCTCTCTCTCCCCCCCTCACTCTCCCTTCCTCTCTGAAACCAATAAAAATATATTCTAAAAACATAAATTAAAAAAAGACATATCAGTTCTTATTTGGAAGGGCCACAAATAAGTGCATGCTCTGAGGGTGCCTGGTAAAGACAGGAGTGCCACCTGGCACCCAAGTGCCCTATGCTTAGTGCCACCTGGCACCCAAGTGCCCTATGCTTAGTGCCACCTGTGGGAGCTATCCTGATGGTCTGGACCCCGGGGCACTGGGCAGGGCCCCCGACATCTGAGAGCCCCTCCTCCACAGAAGCTCCCCCGAGTCCGTGAGCACCGCGGGCCCCTGACCCAGCTGCGGGGCCACCCACCCCAGTGGCAGCCCATCTTCTGTGTCCTGCGTGGGAATGGCCACCTGGAGTGGTTCAGCCACAGGGAGGTGAGTGAGTGGCTTATGTCCCTTTGGCCTCCAGATCCTCCATCCCGCCCTCCCCAGAGTGGGCTTAGGGTCCGGCTACCAGCATAGCCCCTCTCCTCTCTTCAATCATCTAGCCCAGTGGTCAACAAACTGCGGCTCTTGAGCCACATGCGGCTCTTTGGCCCCTTGAGTGTGGCTCTTCCACAAAATACCGACTTCTGCGCATGGGCCACGAAGTTTCAATCA